TCTCTCTCTCTCTCTCTCTCACACACACACACACACACACACACACACACAAAGGGGGTACGAAAGGGGGTCCGAAATCCCCCGACAGGTGACTGCGCTGGGGGGCCCTGGCCCCCAACCGGGTGCCCTGCCCGGCCAGGCCGCCTGGGACCTCCCCCGGGCCCCTGCCAGTCACCCGGGCGGCCCAGATCCCCACTCAGAAATATCCCGCTTTTTCTCTGATAAATTCCGGATTCAGTCCGTATATGGGACGCTGGACCCGTTTTCCAGCAGGTGGTGCTCCCCACCAATAGATAGAGCCTCTCCCCAGGTGCTAGTGGTGTCTGCTCTTATCAGCACCACTAGCACAGGTGGGAGCGTGTTCCTATAAAAACAAAATAGAAAAAATTCACTGTGGGTCCAGGCCCCAGGGTCACATCGAAATTCTTTACCAGTTTTAAAATAAAAAATAAAACTAAAAATTATTATTATTATTATTTTTTCTTTTTCCCTGGCCGGGCACCTGGTCCCGGCCCACTCTGGTAGCCTAGTGTGCATCATTATAACTTGAACTTGTTAAACAGATCATGAGTTCAATACCTGCAATTCTTTGATGACGGGACCACCAACAACTTCAACAAGTTTTTTTTTTTAATATCAAAGACAGAGGGCCATTGTTTGTCTCCTTCAGTGGTGACAAGAGAACAGAACATCACCCATGACGAGAGACGTCGTCGCACCGGCAGATGGTCGATGACCCCCACAACCACAACCGCTTGTTGGCTGGAAAAAAAGTGCACAGCGCACACATCATTATCATGATTATTATCACTATAACTTGCTAAACAAAGTGTGTTTAAAATACCTGCAATTGCTGGATGAGCGGACCGCCAACAAGCCCAGCATGATGTGGTGCATCTAGAACAAGCTGCTGGATCGGTTGGCCGAGCGCCTGAGCAGCCACTGCTCCCACAGAATCACCGTAGTCGACCAGCTCCCGCATGCAGTAGCCGACCGTTTCCGAACCCTCCTGCGGCTTCTTCAAACTTAACCCCTCGTATTTGAACTGCACGATATGCGGGCCAAACCGCACAGTGCCGTCGTAGGCAAGCTTGAGGTCCTCCAGCCCTCTTGACAGCTGGCGCTGGAGGACTCCCGGATCTTTTATTTCACCCGTCTTTTGCAAGAGGCCGTACCGTTCAGCGATGAAATGAGAAAAGAACTGCGAAGGCGTCAACCCCTCCACCAAACCCCGATCGATCACCCCCCTCTCTTCCCAATACCCACCCCTGATAAATGCATCCTGCAAGCTTTCACCCCTCCCCCCCGCCCCTGAGGACATCGACCCTCCTCCGCAGCCACCACCGTTGCCGCCGCCACTGCTGCTGCCACTGCCGACGCCCGTTTGTTGTTCTAACGACAAACCCCTGTCCTGCTGACCTATGGGCCTGGAATGAGCCGTGATTCGGCCATTTCGCATGCCCGGAATCAGGTTTTTCCCGTTGAACAACTGCAAACCGAGATAGACCGACTGCTTAGTGAAGTTGATGGGTGATCCCTTGCTCCCTGCGTTAATCATTTTCACAACCGGGTGATCAGATTTCCCTGCCACCGCCATCAATTCGGACCCGATTCTTTCGACACCGCTCTTCAGCGCCGTTAGCAAGCTGCTACACACACCGCCAGGGTTGTCCTGCACATCGTTGTAGTCCCATCTGCAAGACGTCGGCCGCGCTTCCTGCAGTCCATGCGTTGCCGCCAACCTTCCCCCCGAGTGCTGACGACTGACGTCGTCATTCGCCGGTTCCTTTCCGCCTTCCACCTCTTGTTTCGAATGCAACAGCTTCCACTCGTGTGCCACCTCTCTCTTCAACTGCCGATGAATCTCAAGCGCCTTGCTCTTCAGTTGCTCGTGCTGCTCGCTCCAGTAATCCTGCAGCCCCACACTGAACCCTTTCATCTGCAGGAATTCGTTCGCGATCGCCTGGATTTTGTTAAGATGATTCACAGCGAAGCTCTCCTGGAAAACGCCGCGGCCAGAAGAGCAACGGAACGGCCCTTCCCCCAGCTCCCAAAGAGCATGCGTCAGGCCCTTTCGTCCGCTGCGTAACCACGCCGAGCTGAGGCCTTCGCTCACCAACAGCTCGCCATCTTTTATCAGGACACCGTCCTCGTCCAGCCAGTCGTACTCAAAACCTTTGAGGAGACTCATCCCAAACACTTGCTGACCCGTCCACAGTCCCGACGACTCTCCGTTCTGACGCTTCTGCGCAGGCCACTTCAAGATCGCAGGCTTCGGCAGGATTTCGGACCTGCCGTCGGCGGTGGTTGGCTGGCCAAATTCATCTGCACACATGGCAAGCTGGCTGACTTCCTGTCTGGTGAGGAAGACGTACTCTGACGTCAGCATATGCGCTGCGAGCAGACTGTCCTGCCGGAGCGACACGATCGCCCTCCCGTCCTGGGACGACACCACCTGCTTCCGAAGTAGCAGCAGCTGCCTCGCCTCGGCTTGCGCCTCCAACGATGTCGGCACGAAAAGATTCATCTCGTCACCATCGAAGTCGGCATTGAACGGTCCGCATACGACTGGATTGATGCCGAAGGCAGAGGTCGGAACAATGCGCACGCGAAAGGCGACGACGGAGTGACGGTGCAGGGATGGCTGGCGGTTCAACACGATAATGTCGCCGCCTCTCAGCTTACGCTCAACAACATCGCCGATCGTCAGATTTGTGTACTGTCCCTCACAGCGCATTGCTGTCGCTTCTCCAGCTCGGAAAAACCTGTCCTTCAGACAGCCCTCCGCCTGAAGACGCCTCATACTTTCCAGATTCCATTCCGTCACAGACTCCTCCACAAACAGGTTCACCGCCACACTCCGCGGAACACCGACTTCCTCGAGGCCTATGCTCGCATCGGGAACAATGACGGACCGCGCACTGTTGTTGCTTCTCTTCCCCGAGATGTTCTCTCGCATCCTCCCTCTGCGTTTCGTTTCCTCTGTCGTCAAGTCCACCTTATTCGCCCGCAGTCTGTCCCCTAAGCTCAGTACGCGCCACCCGTCGTCGTTATGCAGAGCCTTCCCTGAAAGCTGCCATAAATTCACAGAAAGAAAATAATACACGCAACTTTCTGACGTCAGCAGCCACCGGCCTGTATCTTTCCTTTTTTTTCCTTTTTTTTTGTGGTTCTAAAGCCACCGGCTGGCCTATATCCTGGGTACTCTTGTGTTTCTGTAAGTACATGATAGCTTTTTTAGTTCTGGAAGCTTTCATGATTGCTGTGTTTTGCATAATAGATCTTCTACTTTTTTATGTGTTCTTTGAAAGAGTTTTAATCCCTATGTTTATTATTATAGGGCTATGGGGTTCTAGACACAGAAAAATCCGAGCAGCATATCAGTTTTTCTTATATACTTTACTTGGATCCGTTTTCATGTTTTTAGCTATTTTATTGAGTTTGTTTCAAACGGAAGCCACTGATTTACAAATCTTATTGACAACAGAATTTAGCGAACGACGTCAAATATTGCTATGGATTGCTTTTTTTGCATCTTTTGCAGTAATTTAAATATTTAAGAATAACTAGATCACCTGTTGCGGCTTCGCTCGCAAAAACAGATATGACGGGTGATGCATTCATGGTTGTGGCATGCCTTTAACCCCCTCCCCACACGCCTTCTCCTAACCCTCCCC